ACTGTTATTTTTATTATTATTGGGGGTATGTTTTCTTAAATTCGCCTCGCCCATGGCCTAAAACATTTATTTGAATTTTTAAATGGGAGAGGCGGTATTCCCAGGCCATTGCACGTAGGCCGGGGTAACGGACTCAGGTTCAAAATTGCTTACACAATTATGAAGTTGTTATAGTTTCACAGGGCCTTCGTGAAGTATGAATGAAGAAGTGAATCTTTTTATACAATTTTCACAAATCGACTGTAAACTGGCAATCGGCAATATCTCAATTTTGACATCTTTACAGGATGAAGAAAAAAATGTTTGCATCTTTATGTAGCATCTGGATTATTAAATAAAATTATGAAGTTGTTAAATATTTTTATTACGTACACATGTACGTATGTACACTACGTATTTTATTTAATATACCAGATGCTATTTAAATGACGCAAACAATTTTTTTGTAAAGTTATCCAAATTGAGATAGTTCCGTTTGCCAGTTCTCAGTCGATATGCTCTATAAAGTGATGTTAGTCTTAGAACAGTCAGTCTCTTTTCGTTACCAGGATTCTTCTTAAGGCAAAACGATTTTCGTATTTTACATCTAACATACTTTTACTAAACTGTACTACAAGTTATACTTGTTATGTACAAATTTGACAGGCATTGGAATGAAAACGCAGACAGTAATACAGTTTCGCAGCAAACGAGATAGGTAATTAGTAAATGCAGCTAAGTTTGAGCCAAGGCCGTCCTGTCAAAGATAACATTCCTGAGCACACCAAATCCAAATTCCTTGTAGTAAACTAGCTCGTGTCCGCAACTTCGTCATCGTGGAATAAGTGCTTTGAGTAGCCAATTGGAATACTTATTTAAAAATGATTGGCTCTGCAGGCAAACTTTCACCCCTTTTAAGATTTATTTTTGTGACAAAAAGTAGCATATGTAGTCGTAGTAGGTAGTAGGAGAAGTACATCTTAGGTCCCATCTATTTTAACACCAAAATACGTTAAATTGGGCCAGCGGTTTAGGCGTGAAAATAAAATTTCTTTCCCATTTATAATATTATTTTGGATTCTATATTACTTTCCATTTTACTTTAAAGATTCAAGTTGGTGTTTTTATCGTAGAATGCTTGTCATCTTTAGGAAATAATTTTTTTTTAGAATATTAAGTGACGGGATGAATGAGTCGTGCGCCTGATGGTAAGCTTCACGTCTGTCCATGACGGTTGCAGTGCCACTCAGAGCTTTAAATCGCTAAGATCTGAGGGGCATTGCTGAGACATAAGTTGACAAGTCCTGAGACACCACCGTATCACTACCACCCTCACCCTACAAGCACTCCAAATTCACGTTGGTGAGAATTCTACAAATAATAATTAGAATAGTATACCCCACTTACTTGCTTTCTGATTAGACGAAACAATTTTAGATCTTTTTCTTTGCATAAATTATCATTTTTACTCTGTATTATACTAATACAGGTTTTATTTCTTAACGATGATTGATTTTACGACTCCTGTCTATTTTGGTATATCACCATGTTTTATCCTAAGTTTTTTAAGATAAGCACTTATTTTTTTTCGTAATAAGACGTTTGTTGTTTGTTGAAGAAAAACTTTCGCGGAACAACATAATTATTATATAAATTTTGTAAAATTCATAAAGCGTTCCATTGCAATGCATGATTATTTATTTGTGTGTGTGTCAATGAAAGTCTAAAACAAATTATTTAAGAATAAAATATCTAACCTTGTACATAACTTTTAAGCGGAGATATTTCCCTTAAGTACTACCTACGTAATAATCTACTAAATTTTGGTTTTCAACCGAAAGCTTATAAATTATTAAATTTATATTTATCTCAAAATTAGCAAATCGGATTTTTGTCAAATTTCTCAGCATCTTCTTATGTTATTCATACTAATTTAGAGCGCACGGATTACGGGACGCGAGGTGAGACCGCGAGAAGTGAGGTGTGGGGACACCTCACTTCCTAAAATCTAGGTTCGCGATGAAACACCTATCCTTAAGTACCACACGTACAATCATAACTCGAAACATTGTGTTGGCATTACTTGTTCACGATGCTTATATTATTTACACGAGTTTAGCATCCCTTATTCTATCTTTTGTAAAATTTAGAAAGGAATGTGTTAAAAAGGGTTTGTATACAAAGAACCTTAACATATTTAGATATATTAAATGTCGTGTTAGACAAAGAATATGCAAATTTTACTGCCACGATTTATTATAGAGCTGAAATGTGCTACAAATATAATTTTGGAAGCCAGTTATAACATAAAAGTGCAATAAAAATGTTTATTCGATATGATTACACGACATAAAAGTAAAGAAATGCCAAAAAGTCAAGACAATCTCTCGTTTACGGTAGCTTTGAATAAAATGTAATACTAAAAATACAAGTCTTGCTTGACAATATTATTTTTTCTCGAGTCTCTGCTAGTTAGGTACTTTGTGTGTAGTAAATGAAGGAGTAGCAAATATAAGGTAGCCTGTTCTAAGAAGACACATCCGATAAGGGTACGCAAAGTCGATTGAGGTGAAGTTATACAACTAACGTAGAAATGGATATTGTTGTGCAGAAAAATATTAAAAAAATATTTCAAACTGAAATTCTTCTGCGTAAGTCTGAACATTTTTAAGCACTTGCTTAAAACTTTTTTGATATTTTCAAATAGTCACCGAGACTAAATTAAACATACATGCTTTGAGAATCGGCTTTGTACCAAATCGCTCAAAAACTTGTCTAGAGCCCAAACTGCAGAGGATTCTGGTCACTTGCAACAAATGGGGTTAGTAGTACTTTTGTTCTGGAATGTAAAGTGTGTAAGAGTTCGCAACTAGATGTGTTGCAACAGTTCGCGCGTACTCTTTCACTATTTTTTGTAATAGTTACTTATTACGTAAAAGTAAGACCTAAAACGAGACAAAAAATGTCATTACCAGAAAGATATGGAGGTACGAGTGTCAAGAGATTTACAAAGAGCCTATATGTACTCGTGAAAATGGACAAAATCCTCTCAATACTCTAATCTATATAGATTGGGAGCGTTTGTGTGTGATTTGTGCGACTGTTAAACGAAATCTATCAAAAAAGGGGTTGTGTACTCTTGCCGGTGCATATATGTACTCTTACCAATAGTACAGTGTAAGAGTATGCAAATCCCATTACAACTTCATTATTAATTATAATTATTTTGCCCGTCACTATGTGAGTCAGATTAGTAAACTAATAAAATAAAACAATTGTTGATTTTCTAACACTTTTTGTTTTCATTCTACATCGGATCAAACTTTAAGTGCGTCTTCTTAGATCAGGCTCTAGACGTAGGCTGGGGTTCCACCCCTACATTGTAGATTACGGGGATTTGCACGAAGCATTACGCTTCCACATTTATGTGGGAAGAGTTGAATTCATTGTCTGGTTCTTATTGCCTGAATGCTATAACTTGAGTCTGAGAGTGACAAGGCGAGAGTGAATAGGTAATATTTAGGTGTGTATGATTCATAGTCGGTCTCATCGTCATTTTCCATCATGTGAAATGGAGGTCAAATGCGCCCTTATTAAAAAAAACTTACTTTCAATTTCATTTAAATTTCAACAGTTAATGAATTTTTATGTATATTACAATAGAGCATAGTTAGAATTACCAGTTAGTGGTTTTACTGACCTATACGCATATTCAAGTATGCTCAATACACAGGGGTATGTACAGCTAGTCAACGACGCGACGGTACAGCCGGACCCTTATACTCTTGCTTTACCATTATTTGGATAATGTCCCGATTTTATGCTGCGTATTCCATTATTGTTTGCAAGTGGGTACAACTATTAATATAATAGATTATTGGGATTACACTTGTATAGATGCTACAATTTCAGGACATATTAATTGAAAAAAATATATAGTGGTCTGTTCGGTGTGATTTGGCACTTGTAATTTTATGTTAAGCATACAACCTTATTAATTTTTGGAACAATAGAGCTTCTTGTGAAAGAGTTCGTATAGGGTAGTACTGCCATCTTACCAATTTATGCCGCCAAGAAGTAATGAGCATTACCGCGTTTCGGATTTACGAAGTGTTAGGGTGCTGGTGAAATTTCAAGTCCATGGAACTTGTCAACTTGGTGCAGTGACAGTGTTCAAAAATCCTTTGCAATTTCAGCCACTGATCTGGTCAATGTAAATCTTACTGGGACGTACTCTTAAAACCCTTCCATCCACATTCGCATCATAAAACTGGCAAACGTTTTTTTCAATTTCTTTGTATGTACAGATACTTAGTTATATAACTTAATCCTTCATCACAAGGAGCTCTATTTAGTAGTAGTAGAGTTCCTTCTGAAAGAGTTTGGAAAGTACTGCCACCTTACCTATTTCTACCGCCAAGTAGTAATATTAACATTACTGTGTTCCGGTTTTGATGGGTAAGGGTGCTGGTGATTGGGACATGGGATTTGTCAACTTATGTCTCAGGGTGTCGGGCGTAGTGGCAGAGCCCTCAGATCTTTGCGACTTAAAGCTCTGCGTGGCACTGCAACTGTTATGGACAGGTGTGTAGCTTACCATCAGGCGCACGACTTGTTCGTTCCGTCACTTGATATTATAAAAAGAACCCCTTTTTTACTTTCGACTTACATATAAGTAGAAAAGACTGTAAGAAACATACTGTAATAAATTGAAAGTACACAATAGCTACAATAAGAAATATTTTGTTAAAGTAAACGTAACGGTTTGCGCTGTAGGCGCAGGATTTGCGTTCGATTTTCTTTAGAACCAACATGGGAAATTAACTTTTCTAAATCGATCTTTTTGTCTGGGTGTTCTGGGTAGTGCCCCAGAGTGAATTCCGGTGCTCTGGTACTAATAGTATAGGGTGTTACCTAGTTTTGTGTAGTATTTTTTTGTTATCTGATAAACACATTCACATAGCCTTTCGTACTAATTTTTGGTATTAAATTTATAATTTATTCTCTTTTGCTTGTTATAGCGACCTACCGTGCTCGAAATCGGCGTGAGCTAACGCTTGCCGAGTCAGCCGAGCCATTCGACGTGCAGGATGTGGAGAAGTACATCGTGGGCGAATTTGGCGCACGCGCATGTATTTTCGAGCGCGTGTGTGCTCATTATGCCGTCAGAGCGCAAACGCACCCGAGACCACAACTTGACTGGCATGACGTGTTTAGGTAAGAACTTATTTACTGCCTGGTGACACTTAAGTGATTTATGGTTACATTACGGTTACTTTTTATGTTTTGCGCATTGCACAGGTATGTTTATTAATTATAATGATGCTGTCAGCGCAAAAATGTATTCCACATTTTTTTTGTCCACAATAATTCTTTAAATGATACTGAAGTACCTCCTTATCTATTTTATATTTGGATGCTATTTTCATGTACAATTGTGGAAATGAAATTTTTTCGGATTTAAATCGAGTTTATTTGTTTTTTCTAACAAACCAATGTTTTGCGCCCTTTACAGGTCCACATATATGGTTTTATACAAGAAAACAGCGTCCAAATATAAAATTATTATGTAATGTAGTATCATTTAAAGAAATATTGTAGAAAGTTTGATTTCCTATGTGTAGCAATCGCGAATACCTAAGGAGCTATATATATATATATATATATATATGCATATAAAACGTATAGCCAAATTCATTTTATATCTATGTATAAAATGAATTTGGCTACTTGTTCTATATTACTATAATCATATAGGACCAGTTCATATATAGATCTTTGCGATTACTCAATATACACTGAGAGAGAACAACACCTTGAATTGGAGAATAGTAAAATCAACCATTAAAATAATTGCTTCTTATAATAAAATTTAGGCGCTATTTATATAAATTAATCTTCATGCGTGAACAGCCACCTTTAGAGGTGGATGATTTTCGTCAAATTTAAATGGGACTACTATGGTGGTACCCTCTTTCCAACAATAAAAAAGAATCATCAAAATCGGTTCACAAATACCAGAGTTATCGCGTAACATAGATATAAAAAAACATACAGTCGAATTGAGAACCTCCTCCTTTTTTGAAGTCGGTTACAAATAAACTTCAAATGTGACCAATCCTTTAAGTGAAATTAGCTATCTTAAGCATTTCAAGTAGTTCATATCCCGTTGATTTTTCCACAGTTTTCGTCAGGGTGCGTTCCCATTATGTCGTAACATTTTATTTATCGTTGGACGACAGTCGCATCGAGCCTGTTCCCGTATCACGATTATCTGTCGTGACTGTGTCGTGGATGTTTATTTTATCATTGAACGACTGTCGTGTTTAGCTGTTCCCACTAGATCGTGACGACATTTTATCGGTTCATGGCAGCCGCCTTGTCGTTTGCACGACAGATTCGTTCGAAGTAGCGATCACCAGTTGTCACATTTTTATCGTGTCGTTTTGTTTATCGTAGGACGACTGTCGTTCTAGCTCTTCACATTATCACGACAGTCTGTCGTCGTAACGCCAAAAAAGTCGTGAACGACAGTAAATTGTGTTGTTCAATGTCTGAACAACTTCATTTAAAAATACAAGTCATAATACTTTAAATTGCACGACTATAATAATGGGAACGCGCGCTAAGTCGTACCAAAGCAACCTTAAGAGCCTTTCCCGTAAGATTACACTTAAGGCACATTTAAATGTCAAGTGTAACGGCGAATGACGCCCACCAGTAGGACTCATATAGGTTGATATGTACAATTTAGTATATGTTTACGTACGTTACGTACGGTACGTTAAGGTTTAGATTAAAATGACATAATCACAGTTCCAAGCTATCTTCAGTCGAGATACCTTGAGGAAACTCCGAGTAACACGGCAATATAATTTCATATCGATTGTCTAAATTCATTTTTAGTTGAAGCTACGTTTCAAGAAATCTATTTTTCTACTATGAGTTTAGTGTCGATAATAGCCGGTTAATACCCGTTGTCTAAGGTACACCAAAGGTACAAGAAAGGAATTGGTAGGTACGTTGTGCGGGGAAGCTTCTTTCGTACACCCCGTTAGAGGTGCTGGGAGTTGCGTTAAAGTGACCAATCTCACGACACAAAATAGGTATGTCTTGCTGTAATATGCTACATCTAAAGTTTGTGCTTCTTACATCTCGTGTCCTACATGTTAATTAAATTAGTTCTAAGGTAATTTACAAAGGCGCGGTATATAATAATACACAATGGACAAGAGAGTTTGGAGAGAGAGAGTGTTTAGAGGCCGTTCGGTCTGTTGATTGATTGTTCGTTACGTCAGGTCAGTCAGATGATATGTTCGCCTTTGTTTAAAGTAGGGCCTAGCCTAATAATTTTTTTTTATAATATCAAGTGACAGGACGAACAGTCGTACGCTTGGTGGTAAGCGACACGCCTGTCCATAGCAGATACAATGCTGCTCAGAGCTTTAAATCGCAAAAGTCTTGAGGGGTACTGCCACTACGCCTGTCAGTACTGAAATATAAGTTGACCAACACCTTATCCTGCAAAATCGGAACGGGAGAAATAGGTAGCTATAAATGGTAGCAATAGCTAGTAATACATCGTGGTGTAAGTAACTCGAATACATTTTCAAAGATATGATATATACCTTTGCCGTAGTTTGTATGTCTCGTAACGACGTTTTCCTTTACGTTTAATGCACGTTAATATAATAAATTAGAAATTATTCGGTATCTAGTGGTGCGTCGAGTCAAACTCGAGCAAATGTCTCGCAACCAGGTTATCATTGCTAGTCCAAGGTATTTTATTCATAAACAACATTTTCTTGCAAAAGCGAAATTGCAGTAATATGTATTTTATAACCTATTTGTAGTGTTGTTATCATTATGGCAGAAGCGAAATTTTATTTTAATGGTAGTATGCATTAATATTAGATATAACTTGTTCTAATGAAAATAATTTCATTTAGAAAAAGATACTTATAAGATTTCTCGAATTTAAGGAAATTTGTATGAATTTTACATCTTTGCATGATGCAGATGCATTCCTTATCGTATAACAGACTGTACAATATTGGAAACGAGTTGGATATTGTAGTTTTTGTAAATATTATGTTTTAACAAATTAGGAAGCTTTGATATGTGACTGTTCTTTGTTTGGGTTACAAATCAAAACAGTATTTAGTATCCAAGATTGCAAAATCTTACAAATATCCCTTTGTAAGAAGGGAATAAGAATTGTAGACAATATGCCAAAGCCTCCATTATACAGGTGCTAAGAAATTATGTTTGTGCATTTGGTAGGTAAGCAATGGGTATGTGGCAATTAGTTACCTGCACAGACCACATAAATACTCCACCTCATTATAATCGCAATTAGCCTATATTGTTAATATAGAATACAAGCTAATTACTTAATACACCCCCTTAAGTGATTAAAACCTCTTCAGTCAATTTAGTCAATCTATCACTATTATATTGAAAAAGAATGTCAATGCCACACACTGTATTTCATCATTTGTTGCTAAATGCACAGTTTATATTATAAATTTATCTTTCTGTACGAGAGAGTATAATTTTAAAATCGCATAGAAAGTGTTTTCGTGTGTATTTTATATTGATTCTTTTGAAGCAAACTGTCAACAGTAAAATTGTCTGTGCTTAATTTGTTAGCAACTTGTATTTGGAGCTCACCGTTGCAAACCAGACGCACGGGAGGAAGACATGTCATGATTAGCGACGCGTCTTATGACCGCCGGCTGACTATATACCCTTCAAATTAATTCCAACTAATTCTTTTATCGGTTATGTCTGAATATATTTAAGATGGTGAATTAATCTGCTCTGTCCACCTTTATATCACGTCCCATCTAAGCTAACCCATAATTTTTTTCCACACTCACAGCCCCGCACTAGGGAAACCCTGTATCACGGGTGCCATGGGTATGACCATGGCTATTCTATGTATATAGACAGTCACAAATTACACCCAAACTCGCAAGAGAAAAATCGTAGGCCTATCAAATATGTCTCCCAGCCTAGGAATCGAACCCGGGACCTCTGCGTGGTAGACCAGCATGGTAACCGTTCGACCACAGAGGCAGTTAAAAACCATGATGTAGTATGATGACGTACTAGATTACAATCTGATTGAACAGCTCTCTCTCTCTCTCTCTCTCTCTCTACCTCTACTTTACTTTAGTTCATTTTACTTCAGGGATACATTTACATAAAAAGCGTGAAACCTTTTAACGCGGTATTCCATTACCATTTCAACAGAAATTTTTCTTCAAAATTCCCAAAATATTATTACAACTATAACAAAAAAAAATAAGGACGCAATTTTAGAAATGTGCGCGTTACATTTTTTTGATCTTGACATAACATTGAATGAAGGTTTTGGTAAATTTGACAATCCCGTTGGCCCAGTGGTTAGCTATGTTTCGAATTCCCAATGGGACCGTTTTTGGGGAATAAACTTTTCTAAATTGGTTCTGGTCTGCGCGTTGTGAATAGAAAAGCAATAGAAAAGCAATTCCCCAGTTTGAGACCTCACAAATAAAGACATATGCTAGATTCGTATGAAACGTTATATTTCCACATTTATATGGTGTACGGGACTGGAGTGAAATTCCCTGTCTGCAGATTTGTCCATTAAACACTATAACTTGGGATTTTCAGGAAGTGAAAGTCAAAGATCATTTATTCCATAGGTAAAATAAATTTACACTTGAAAACGTCACATTTACACTACATTAAGCTACTGCTCGTTCACTACGCTGACTTCCCTGAGAAGAACGAGCAAGAAACTCTAGGGATTGCTCTTTTCACCTACACAGGGAAATACACCTTCGTCAACGAACTACCTATTGAACATATTGAAAGCTACAGTTAAATGTGGGGAAATTAGATCAATAACTGAGTCTATAACTTTGGTTGATATGCCTCAGAGATCTTTAGATTTTTTAACATGTATTGATTTAAAAGCTTTTATGACGTCTTGTGGGTTAATATGACGAAAATTAAATAAACTGCCACAAACGTTAACATTTTCCTTTAAGAGATCAATGGCAAGAGAAGGGGAGGAATGTAATGATTCTGTAGTGTTCACAGTAATTTCCGAAAATAACGATTCTAATGCTTGGGCTTCCTTGTTTTTAGATTGTATAAGTTTGCTGTCTAATTCTAAAACTATGTCTCTATCGTGTTGTTCAACCCAGCCTGACTCTTTATTTATT